GTTTCTTTGTTAGCTTGTACATATCCTTTAGGAAGCTCTCCACGGTCGATTCCTTCTTCTTGTGACTTTTGACGCGGGTCTTGCGTTGGATTTTTCTCGTTCCACGACGTATTTGACGCATCAAACGATTTATGTATTTATTCCAAGATGATTTTCTAGCCTCTCCAGAGGACATGTCACCATCGATGCTACGCTCGGCTGGGATAATTTGTAAGCGGGCATAAGCCAATGAATTGCTGCCCTTAGCGACATTGTTTTCCTCTTCATCCGGCGTAAAAGCCACTATGAAGTAGCCCCGACCCTGGCGGGAGGTGCGTGGCTCCACTTCATCCGGAAGAGCTGAAGCGGCTTTCAGATCACTGTCACTGTCTTCTGTAATTGCATCTTCATTCGGAAACGATATGGATTTAATAATTTCTGTAATTTCATCATCCGTCAATGCTTCGGCGGCTTTTCTTAGCCTTGCGTCTTTAAAGGATTTGCCTTCGCGATCAGTGGGCTCCAAGGCCGGTGGCATGCTATCAATTTGCTCGTCGAATTCCTTTATCTGATCCAATTCGTCTTCGTTCAAATCCAATTCGGTTACAACTATTCTATTCTCCGGATCATCTGAGTGAGTGGCTGTACTTGCACCGTACTCAGCAGTCACCAACATCGAAAACGAAAGAAAGTATGCGAACGTCAGAAATCGCAGTATTTGGATGGCCATTTTGCAGGCGTTACGTTACAAATTTGACTAAACTCGTAAGCGGTTATTCGAAGCGTTTTATACAAACAAGCCAGCAGTTGAATTTGCAGATGACCGACACAGCAAAACTTTGTTGTTAAATAACAATGTCGATAGATTTGCTGCGGCTTATCCCAAACGGCGAGCGGTATGTGCCAGGGAGAGGTGCATGTGCGTATACAGACCACCGCCATGATATAATTAATGGTCCCTTTCATGCGCGCACACACAAACATACAATAGGTTGAGAAATCAATAATCCATTCGCCGGTGTCGTTTCGATGCCGCTGTCCACAGTCGATGAAAGTTGGACGATCATCGTAATATCAGTGATTTCACTTTTGTTGTTGTTGTTCTCCCTTCAAATAAAATCCAACTTGAAATGTTAATTCATATTCATTCATCGCAACAGACATGAGCATACAGCGATCGGCCCAGTTGCTGATTCATCATCTCCACTGACCGTTCATCATGAAACGATCGCGGCACTTATAATTGCTATGGGTGATCGTAATTTGTACTTGTATCGAAAACAGCAGGTTCTCGGTAGAAACTTGTCCGCGGAGGCAACTTCTATGCACACATACAACCGGTGAAGATGGTAGCATCCGAAAGCAGTGTTGTCGGTCTTACAAAGAAATCTAAATGGTAGATAGCCGTTGCAGAGGAAGTGCTAATGGTGATGTTTTGGGAGTTCTAATTGATTTACTTTAGCTTTATTTGGGTTTTAGTCAATTTCTGAAACAACTTGAAATTAAAAGGTGTGACACAGTAATTCGGATTTATAAAATTCCAAGCTTATGTGCAATGAAAAAGGTCATAAGGTAATCAGTTATATACACAAAATACTAGATGACTGGCGTAAGCGTATTGGCCACTTCCTTATTTTCAAAATATTGACAAGCAGACAGCCAACACTTTCGAATTGCCTACATTATTATTCGGCGAATGCATGGGTACTTGCGTTCAATCGGTGTATAGGAGATTAAAAATCCTTTCATTTGCTTTTTATGGCGTTGTTGGCTTTTCAGCCATTATGACTATTAGCCTTCGCAGTAGTAGTTATCGCTTTTATGCGTTTCCTTGATTTATCGGCACGGTGGAAGGTTCCCACTTCGCCATAAATGATTTCCTTCCTTGCCATATGATGATCGCAGCTCTTTTTCTCTCTCCCAGTTAGATCGGGACTTTCACTTTCAAAAAACAAAAAAAAAAAAAAAAAAATAAAATAAAAATAAAATGGACGAAAATAAAAAATAACGCAACAATCGAAAGACATTGCCTGTATTTATGCGTTTAAATGTGTCTCTGCGTGTGTATTGGAATATTGGTATTTTATTGTCATTGCAAAACGATCGAGTCGAGTTTGAATGTTTGTGCGGCAGCATCATCTTTGCAACAACGCTTGGCATGTAACAAAATTTGGAAAATCGTGTAAATCTCTTTTGGTTGTCAAATGCTAAGCTTGTTTCGCTTTCAATATTCGAAAATAGCAACATTGGTCCACAAACAACCCAACTAGATATTAGTTAACTCACATGGTCATTTATTCCTAAAGATGCAAGAAATGCCATACCATTCACGCACATCCATCCAGCCAACGAGTTAGGCAGTCGTCTCCAAATTTGTCTGCCGGTCTGCTCGACAAACAGTGGAGCCGTCATTGACGAAGTACGTTAAAGCTATTGATTGTTCACACATTGTTTCTCGCTAAATTCCTCTACAAAGTCAGCAAATCACACTCACTGGTACACCACACATCTTCTCTTAAGTAAAAGGTATTTTTGTTTTTTATTCGGAACATTGTGTTTACTCTTTTTTCTACAGGAGATAGTTAGCTGAAGCTATTTCCCATATGACCGACAATATTAAACACTGAGAAAACGGAATATGAAAATTCGGTCCCAGTCGAGATTCATTTAGCGAAGTTCAATTTTATAAACGAATGTTAGCTATAAATTAATTATTTGAAGGCGAATTCAATTCTCAATTAAGTCCATTTGGTAATTCTGTAGTTATGTTTCTATCATTCGATGCAATTAGGTTGTTGTAGTCCAATCACCAATAAATTGCGTACATTCTGAGCTTGTCGCTACTTCTGTGACAAGTTCAGTACATACTTCCATTACACTTTGTGGCGTATTCGCAAATATTCGAATTATTGTCGGCTTACATGTTCGAATGTACGTACATGAGCACATAATGCTTTACTCTGGTATGGCTGTTGTTTTTTATGTTAGCTAATAGTCTTAAACAAACAATTTCACAAAATGCCAAACACACACACAGACTTTGTGTTCGAAGCTCATGCAGAGTAAACGCTTGTTAATGGTTTCCAATTAAAGCCGGCACACTGGTCTATGCATTGCTGGAGGATGATGGGGGATGTCGTTGGAACAACCTGCAAAGTGATGATAATGATGATGTTGGCTAGTAATGGGGCCCAGTAAAAGTATAGGAATATACAAGGATCTATCAATTATACTGAAATTTTGGAACATAGACCCGTTGTCGAGTGATATGCTGATATAAAAAAGGAATTTATTTACGTGTACATAGGAGAGTTATATCTAAAGAGAAAACATAATATCTAAAATAAAAACATAATATCTAAAATAAATATCATGTACATGTACATCTCTAAACTTACTGAACAAAGATACTGTTTTCTATTTTCTTCTCATGCAATATGTATGTATATACACATATAATTATTATTTTAGCATTGCTTCCAAATCTCGTCACAGAATTGTGGAATCGTTGTGTAAATTGTCGTCATGTATTTGTAATTATTAAATAAAGTAATTAAGAAGGTAATAGCCCGTATAAACAAATTGTTATTGATGGAAGTTCAAAGTACGCGGACAAATGTTCCATGTGTTAAGATTTTTCCGCTAAATAAGTTAATATTGATAAAGTCAATTTTGTGACACCAAACTGACTGACGTGTGGATTGTTTTTTTTTTTTTTTAGTTTAACATGCTCCACAGTTTTTACTCGACGAGTATTCCCACAACTCAGGTGGACTATAATGCCAGAAAAAAGATTTAACATGTTACCAAACAACGCTAAAAATCAACATCAGGGGTTCTTTTCGAAATCGAGTTGGAAATATGATTTCGATATTGATTCATTCACAAATCATAAATCTCTTCTTAGCAACTTCGTAAAATTCATCTTTAAACAAATGGATTTTAGAATATGTTTTCATATTTTCCTTAAACATCACATACTTAGTCACACATTTTGTATACGAATCTGTCATAACTAGCCCCAATATGAAACAATTGTAAGTTATAGGTTGGTATAGCCTACCTTGAATAGCCTATAAGAGCGAATGAGTAAAAAAATGTCTAGAACTGTTCAAGAGAGAAATGTGCTGTACTATCCAGTCAACGCTGTCATTATTATTTTTGTTAAGTTCATTTTTATTTTATTTGTTAAAAATGTGAAGTAGCTGTTAAGTTCTTAATAAATTTTCAACTTAAAAGAACTTTGCGATATAACGAATTGTTCAATTTAACGAATGGGCCTGACAAATATACCATTCTTGGCTATATTCTATAACCAAAATAATTAATTAAGATGTTAATACGAAATGTTTTAGTTTTAAAAATATTTGTTCAAATCATATTTGAAATGTGAGATGTTTTTGCTTTAAATACAACCGAAGTCGCTTATATAGCAAAATAAATGTTGCAATTCGAACGTAAAATCTCTGACGTTGCCTGTGTTAAGATGTACAGTACTTTTTAGAAATAGAATAACCCCATACTAAACAGATTAAGAAAAACCATATGTGGAAGATTTAATCCATTTGTGATTTATAGTTCTGTCGAATTTTTTGCAACCGGTGCATTTTGTAGAACAGGTAATACATGAAATTAACGGTGGGATTAGTTTACCTGAAAAATCAAGTCGTCCTTTTCCACGAAAATATACATGTGTATTTGTGTCCTTCGCAGGTAGCTTTTTAGCCGCCATACCCCTCGTATAAATAGACCTATTAGACAGGCGTTAAGGACACAGTCTAGTTTTACGCTTCGTTACGATCGTATCACTGAACACTTATAGCAGTTTAACTGTAACCCATTTGTCTAACAAATTAAAACCCCTTTCATTACAATCATGGTCAACTTAAATCTTAATTTCGACAAACTAGAAAAAGATATTGAGAAGTTCACGTCCGTTGACGAACGTGAGTGTGGTCACTTGACATTGTAAATTAATTATGAAACAAAAGTTAACGTATTACTGTCTTTTTTACTTTCAGATCTGCAATTAGCAGCAGAATTGGGCAAAACACTCTTAGAGCGCAATAAAGAACTGGAAACACTTCTGAAGGAACACAAGCATACCATAGAGGAACAAGAGCAGGAAATTGTGGTAAGTGGAAAAACTGAAAGCCATGTTCAGTTAAGAATTGTCATTGTGCTATGTGTGTCAGTCCGTGTGTTTCCGCTGCACTATTTAATGCTTCATTGACTCTCCCTTTCAAACCGTCCTAACTAATGTTCCACCATATACGCGCCGTCAAGATCAATCGATATTCGATAGAGTCCAATGCATAAGTAGACCGACCAAATTCATGCAGAAATGCATACATTTGGGTGCAACATAACAACTTTGGGAAATTCAAATTTGAATATCAATCAAGCGAAACGCCAACCGCGGCATTCCAAAGCGAAATTATTGTGTGGCATTTCGTCTCTAGGGGGAAACTCTGCCGAACACACACACAATAGAATCTAAATTTATCGCTTGGCATTTGATTGGTAGATATGCTTTGACCCGATTGTTTTGAAAATAGAACGCATTAATTGCATTTGGCATTTCCGTATCTTGCGATCGACCGACGATGACTAACTATAGCGTCGACACTATGAAACATTAATTCACCTTTGCTCGTGTTCTTCTCTCGCCCCACAGTATTTGAAGAAACATACGACAGCGTTGCGTGAAGTCAATGATTCTCGCCTCAAGGTCTACGAACAATTGGAGGTTGGTATTCAGGATTTGGAGCGTGCCAATCATCGTTTGCTCGTTGAGAACACCGCCGATAAGAAGCATATCAAAACGTAAGTACTTGTTGTTTATGTTGTTGTTGCTGTTGCTTTGTATAGTTCTATCATAATAATCGACCAACTGATTTGCTTGTAGGCTTTCACATACTATTGAGACTCTCGAGGCACGCACCGAAGAACTGACGAAACAATTGGACGACGTCCGCCAAGCACTGACCGCTGAGAAACGCAAAAATGAACGCCTTCTGGCAGAGATGAGTAAAGGCGGTGGCGACGCCAATGCTGTAAAGTTGAAGCCAACCCAGAATAAGGATGCTGCTGACAACGACACAAAATCTCCTCAGCCAGGCTATGATGCCAATACCACAGCGCCAGAAAATTGTAGTTTTACATTCCAGTCGCCTGCAGCCCGCAATTCGACGGGCATCAGTGGCGCTGATAATGACAGCTCCTTGGATCTGAGCATGGTTGGTGGTCAGGAAGGCAATGATGAGATTATCAAGTTGGTTAGTGACTTCGAGGCGACCAAAAAGGCGTACATGGCAGAGCAGCAACGTTGCGGTGAATTGGAAGAACAATTGGTGGCCATAAGTAAGTACCAGCGACTTTAAGATCTCGACGAAGAATTTTGCCTGATCGAAATGTCTTTCCGAAACTATTTTTTTGCAGTTCAAGAAAATCAAAATCTTCAAACTCGTATTGCTCAAACCAGTGCCACTGAGGAGATGAAGTCAATGCACGACGAACTTTCGATCTTGGATGAAGTGCGGTAAGTATTGGCGAGTCGTCCTCGTTCCTTCGAATGTTCTGAGAACTAAACTGACATAAGTGTATTTTTTCGTAACAGGCAAGGACAAATGTGCAGCCGTTGTCTTCGTTCGATGGACGACCGTGCCGTTGACGAGCAGTCATCGCTGGCCCCTACAGAGGAGTGCGAGGAAGACGAAGAGAACAGCCTCTTGGACCTGGAAGGCAGCCGTGCTGGTGACAATGCCAGCGAACACTCGCAAGCGGCCTATCGTTCCAGCATGTCGATCAAGGTGAGAAATTGTTTCTACTTTAAAACACTTTTCTATGGCTTACTGCGAGGTTGACAATGTGATCAAACTAATAAAAAAATCACGGTGTGTTTCGCACTCATTCGTTTCCACAAATCGCCCTCATTTTCGCAAACTCTCCATGTGATCATAACCGTGCACGCTCATAAATTGTAAATACGTGTTGGTGTTACTGATCTCACTCAATGCTCTCTCGTCGTTCATTTAACATTTTTGTTATTGTTACTGTTTTGTGGAAGTGGGGAGAGTAAACTTTCCATGGCATCCATAACGTTCTATGTTGTCTGTACTAAAAACAAAATAACGAATGTCGTGTCGTCTAACTCTACTATTTACTTTTAGTACACTTGTGTTCTGTTTGTCTCTAGTAAATGTCGTATCCACACATACACACACACACTCACTCGCTCTCTTTTATACGCATCCGTATCCGCATCCGTATCTGTTACTGTTCCCGTTCCCGTTCCCTCTCCCACCAACTGTGATAATTTTAGTTTAAACTAATCCTGTTTCAGCAAAACACCATGATTTTTTCTATTTCTTTTTGATTTTTCTTCTTTTTTGGTTTATTAGGCTAAAAAGCAAGTTGGCCCGACCACTTGCCCGATTTGTTCAAACATCAACACTAAGTACCTGCATGAGCAAATGCCAATTTCACTAGACACGGTCTTGTTAGAACTTTGGCAGAAAGCCGTCAAGCGTTTCAGTCTCATGAGTTGGCTGGCGAAAATGCTGCAATGGCCGGCACTAGTTTTAAGCCGTATGATCACCTCCATACCTGATGACGATGACTTTTCATTGCTCTTCTGACGACGGACGCCGCGCCACAGATTTGTTGGACAGTTTTGGACAATTTCCATTGTAAAACTAATCGTACTTAACGACTGACATACCTGTCGTCTTTTATAACACAAACTAATCGGGAAACATTCCGCTCTAACCGAGTCACAAATACCGACCGACCGACCGTACACCACACAGCGTTCCAAACGCTGTTGACATTTAAAATGTGCCAAGACTTTACATTTTTTCCAACGATTTTCCATTTTAGACTAATCCCTAGTTAGTAGGCTGAACCGTAACGGTGTGTTTTTGTGTGGATAATTTATTATTATTTTTTGTAAAGTATTTTTTAGTCTTGTAAAGTAACACAGACGTACATACGTATTTTTTTATTTTAAAACTACTACATACATACTCATATTTTTCTAGTGATGTAAGTGTAAAGGGCAAAAACGTTAAGACAGACTGCGGGACTGACACCCTCCCTTCCACATCCACCCCTCCCCAATTTCGCAATCCCACCGAAATCTTGCCATTTTCAATACATTGTCATAACCATACCCATGCCCCGACGTCCCAGATCCCATCACCTGCGCCCTTCTTCAGTAAAGTGTCCAGTGTTTTTCTCAACGTTTTTCGCTCCCTTTCTATTCTAATTTATTTTTGATTACAATCAAATGTAGAATACGTTGTTTTTTTTGTTTTTGTACTTGAGTTTTTGGTTAACCATGAAAAGGACAATTTTTTATGTGATATTTAAGTTTGAGAACGTCTAATAAAAAAATGTTACAATGTTATTGTTGGTGTTGATGTTGTTGGTAATTTCAGCAGTGCATGACTTCAAGTTTGTATCTACTTACACACTCACACACATACATATATACACATATAACAGAATTACATTATTTTTATTTAATGAATATTTACCGTATTTCCCAGCCCATCCCGTTTTTCTATCGACTCATGATTTCCTAAGTCCATTCCAAACCGCCCGTTCTCTCGCACACACCCTATTCTGCTCTATCTCCCTCTTTCTATCTCTCTACATATAGTCTTTATTTAATATCGCTTTCATAATGTGAAAAATTTATATATTAAACTCTTCCGAACGAGACCATCCGAACATTGTTAATTTCGTTACAACCTATAGAAAGAAACCTTTGTTAGTGTGGCAAACGAGTCTTAATAACCGTCTAAACATCCCATCCCCATTACGCAGGTTATGCCTCATCATCCCGACTCTTTGGATTTACATATTCCCGGTAGTCCAAATCCTTACCGCGACCTGGTGGAAAAGTACGAAGCGCTGCTGGAGGTACAACGATCGTCGATTGCTCGAAAGAACACCAATGGCGGCATGTCGTTGGCCGAGGAGTTCCAGTCGTCCGGCGAATTTAATCAAACGCAGAAGTTGATGTTGCAGGCAGCTCAAACTGTGGCGTCGGACCACTGCAACACGTCGAACAATGGTGATGCGGCCAGTAGCTGCAATGGAAGTATGACAAACGATAGCAAAACTAATACCAAAGCTGATAAGAATCGTGGCCGAACCCCAACCGAATTCTCAGAGGCCGAGACCTCCTCTTCGGGTTATTCGGATGAGACCAGCAATAAAGCCACACAAACAGATGAAAGGCCTGGCTATTTCCTGTGTTCCATTGGTGATGGCGAAGACTGCAAATTCAGCATCTACGACGATGCCAGTCCCATTGATTCTCGATTCCGCAATCGGCCAGAGTACCGTGAACTGTTCAAGGAAATATTTGCTGTACTGAAGAAGGCTGCCGAGAATAAGGAGGAAGGTGAAAAACTGCCATTGTTGGATGATACCCATCCCGTGGGTGTAAATACTGCTCAAAAGGTCCCACCCGTGACACCTGCCAACGAAGAACTTCCAGTGGACTTCGGTGATGACAGTCAGAGCATTATTTCATCGGCCGTGTCGGAGCAATCGTTTGCCATGTCGGAATGCATCACCAAACTTGAACGTAAAACAGCCAAAAAGCACATAATCGAGAAGAATCAGGAGAACAAGCCCCCGTTGGCTGCCTCCATTTCCCAATTGACTTCGCCAAATGCCAAACAAATTATCGAAAATGGTCGCATACTGACGCCACTTAAGCGGGAGCCGTTGGACTATTTGGCTGTGGGTGTTGGCATTAAGCGGAAGAATCGCAGAAAGAACCGTAACTTCTCCAGCGATCGTTCCGAATCACCACTGGCCCTTCCCACGCCGCCACGCATCTTTGTTGCCAGTGGCAAGAAACGCAAAGACGTCCGTCCCTATGTAGAATCTCCCATGGCCTCGAACACGAATCTCAATCAGACTACACCTAGCAGCTCAAGGGGATCGCGCAGCGCTCCCAAGTATGAATGGAATGGCAACTCGATGATCATATACAACCGTAGTCTCAGTGGCAGAGGAAGTCGCGATGCCGATGTGACCAGCATTCCGTACCGACCCAGCACCGTTTCGCAAGATTTGCACAAGTTAAAGAAACTCGATTTGTCGTACGCGGAAGTTTTGAGACGTGCCGACGCCTGCAAGTCTCACAACCAACAGCAGGCGCATTACCATCACCAACAACAGTCACAACGACGACGAAATCATCGTCACTAAAGAATCCCCAGCAACCGCTCATAAAGAATCTCCCTTGCGTCAACAATTCTCCCTACCCAGTGTTATCTACTGAAATGATTAAGTATTAAGTAGGTGTTCCGTTATCTCTAGCTCCGGCCATAAGTGATTACAATCGGAGACTCCATCATCTGCCATTTATTGTGAACCTAAATCCTAAATTAGGCTTACAAGGATCAACTCATTTGATTTAAATTTAGTTTTAATCTGCTCCCGAAGCAAGAATGTCCTTTGTGTTTTTTAAAAACCCCCACCCCTTTTTTAGCATTCCCCCGACCACTCCGTTTGTTTTATCCTCTTTTTATTTAAATTAAGTATAGATTATTGCTTTTAAGTCGTACATGCGCATGTTCTTCTCCTATCCCTTTATCCTTCTTCAACTTATGAAATAATCAGCCAAACTAAGCAGGCGATGCGTGAAGAGGCATTGAATATTTGTGGGCTCAGCGCACAACCCCAAATCTGCATTATTACGTTTAAACACTTTTTCTATTTTAAATTATATTTTATTTGTATTTTGTAAATAATAATAACAACAACATGAGTTCGAAACCAACCAACCAATCAACCAAACAACAAACTAACCAACCAACACTGAATCGACGAGCAAACCTAAAATTTAGCCCTCTATTCTGGATCCGCAATGCAGCTACTGGCGCCACCATCCATTCCATTTGATTCATCCAATTTAGCCATAGATAATGAAAATAGTCGACAAATAAATTGAAATTAAAACATAAGAAAAGCGAACTTGATTTCCTACGAATCTACTGAACTGATGTTCATTTATTTTGTTTCTGGATGAGACCCACATTAAGCGGCGGACTACTTACTCTCCCCAACTTGTGGATGGGGGGAGAAGCTCTTACGAAATTGCGCATAATGAATATTATGGACAGTATGTATTCCAAATAAAAATATGAATTAATTAGATAATATTAAAGAAAATAATAAAAAAAACAAAACTGTTAAGTGTTTTATTGTTCTTTACGGTGTGTAAGTTGCGAATGACAACGGAGGAACGGAAATGTTTTATTAAGTGTAAGTATTACAATTATTATTAGTATTATTACTATAGTCGAGTACGAACATCGGTTATAACGAATTCTCTTTATAGCGAACACATTTCCTGGTCCCGGCATTTAAAGACATATTTTTCATAGAAACTTTTCATACGAACTAATAATTCGGTCCCAACTTTTAGTTTTCATTTATTTGAATTCTGTCATAACGAACTTGCTACAAATACACGAAAATTTGTGCCCTGATATATGTATTGAATCTGGCATTACACATTAGCTTAGAAACTTTATGTTGCCCTTCGGCAACATTGGACCTTAAAAATGTTTTGAAAAATAGCAAGTGGTAGTACACTTGTAGTACATATATATCGAGTATCTTCTGGAAATGTGATATAGTCAGGTAATGTAGTAGACAAGGCCTATATAAGGTCGGACAGTAAGCACAGCTGACTATTAAGTTTGCTGCCAAGTCATATTTTGAAACCTACACATCCATACAAAATTATGTTAGACGTCCATACCAAAAACATTAATATTTTGTCAACATCCAATTCAATTTTAATTTATGTCGTCTTTGTGAAACACATTTGGACTATTTCAAGATTTTAAGGGACATTTTATCTTACTTAAATTATCTTACAGAGTTATAAATTGTGTTGTGTTTTTTATTTAAAGGCGAAATAATTAGTTTTCGCCGCGGCTTACTGGCCGACCTTATATAGGCCTTGTCTACTACATTACCTAATTATATCACATTTCCAGAAGATACTCGATATATATGGGTAATTAAGTATACCCTACACAATTATGTTGTCAGGGTATTATAGCTTTGTGCAGCCCCAAAAGTTTGTAACGCCTAGACCCACCTTTAAGTATACCGATCATCATATCTCGATTAGCTGAGTCGATCTAGACATGTGTGTCCGTCCGTCCGTCTATCCATTATAATTTGTAAACACGATACAGGTCACAGTTATGGACCAATCTTCACAAAATTTTGCATGTAGAATGAGTTCTGGCCAATGAAGACCCCTATTGTTTTTGGAAAAGATCGGTTAATATTTAAGGGGATGAAATGGACCAAAAACTTTATTTTTGCCGCAATTATGGACCAAACACCGCAAAGTTTTGCATGGAGAAGGGGATCGGGCCAAAGAATAAGCATGCCTTTTTTGATAAAGATCGGTCAATATTTAGCGGGTCAAATGGACCCTAACTTTTGTATGAAAATTACAAAATTTGTATTCTATAGCGTATATATTTACCACTGAAGGACATAGACCCGAGAAGTTGATAGTATATCCAAGAGGAGTGGTTGATGTTTAAATTGATACCAATTATATTGTCGTAGGTACTCGGATGCGGGAGTTACACTTAAATATTTGCAGGTGCTTACGTATTCATATATTATTTAGTAACCTATTACCACACTGGAGGGCGGAAATATAGCGCTGATCATTTTGAAATGTTCCACGAGGTTCCAGTTATGGTCAAGGACAACGCCTAAAATGTTAGGTAATGATCAGATAATATTTTTCGGATGAAGTGGACCGAAAACTTAATTACTTGTACTTTTCGAGTCGAAAGCCGAACATCACAACACAACCCACCCAGGAAGTTAGATTTTCATGGAAGCTGTGTAGGGTATCGTATGGTCGGCCCCGTCCGACTATACTGCTCCGCTCACTGGTTTTTATATTGCTTAGCAGTGGAAGAAAAGTTGCACAAAGATTTAAAAGTTCCACATAGAGTCAGAGGGCATCAAAAAGGTTGCAAATCGCGACTTTAGTCGCACAACGGTAACCCTGTTGCTTAGTACTGTTCCATTGCATGCTTTTTGGAGTTGGGAATATTCGGTGGGTTGTGGCCATGGCTTCAATCGCCAATCATGTATACAAGTTTTATTAGCAATTATGTTATCGGTAGATGGCGTTATCTGGCATGTCATGATCATTTCGGTTATTCAAGTAACAAAAGTCAACATTTTAATACACTACAGCACACTGTTGCTAAGACATAAAAGTAAAGATACGATAATTGATACGTCGACAGATTCCAAAAGTCCTCATATTAAATCTTTTAAGCGCTTAAAAAATTAAACCGTATATTTTGAGTGTAGATCTCTGATTTTATTTACATTTTAGAAATTTTTGATAAAAGGCCTGCGAAAATAAATATCGCGGTGTTAGAAAAATGCCATTTAGAAGTAGCAAACATCAAAACGTCAAAAGCGAATTAAATTGGGAATGATCATCAGATCTAAGAGGTAAAAAGTACTAAATTGTATTACAATAGAACCGGAAGATATAGATAAATAAAGATATGTAGATAAGTCTAATAAAAAATAGAATAATGTGCAAAACTTGTTTTGAAAAATAGTACTAAAAGGTACTAAAAACTGTATTACGACGGAATGGTTGAAAGTAGAACTCGGAAATTTCCTATTCAGCTTTGTCAACGATATGCGAAATTAGTGCCTAATAGTACTAAATATTATATTACAATGGAACAGGTAGGGATAGTAGATATATAAAACTTGATATGTAGATTAAGTTATTAAAAATATATAAACTAAGTATGTAGATTCATTTATAGCAATGGAATGCTGTGCATAAATATTGTTTATGGTTTTTTGTATTGGTACTAAAATATACTAAATACTATTTTAAAATGGAACAGTAGTACCCAAATTTAACTATTACAAATACTATTCTATGTACTAATATATATTTAAAATTAGTTGGTAGCTTAGCTATTGCAAACAGAATGATGATATGCAAAAATATTTTTGGAAATTAGTACTAAATATTGTACCACTGTGAATGGTAAGAATGTGGTCCACTGTAAAAATGAGAGACCGTTTCATAGGGGCTAGTTCGAAACATGATCTCATATTTGAGGAGGTATTCTACCTTCTGACTTCAAAACTTCAAAATACTGCAAATGGGAAGGTGCCCTTAATGGGGGCTATTCCAAAACTAAGTCCCATATATTGTAGCATTCAGTTAAATCAATTTCAAATAAAATGAAAAATAAATTCAAAAAAATGTTATGCATGTCGATTGAAATATTTTCAACAAATTAATTTTCTAATGTTTCAAATTATATTTTCTAATTTAGCGATTTTGCCACTGAACACATCCTGGCATATTGGCATTTGGTGGTTTTTCTTTTTATGGTGTTCGATCTATTTACGGGATTTATGAAATAATGGAATTGTTTATACGAATGTGTTGAAAAAGGCAATGGTTCTCTTTGCCGAAGAAAATATACTGCTTTCAACATGACAATAACCTCAAAAATACAAGGAAAAGAAAAAATAATTGCATACTGTCGATTACTTATTTACATGGTATAATAAAATATGGTAACAACAAGTGTTGTGGTGATACAACAACCATGGAAATTTGTTGTTGTAAGTAATACTACTGTCAATGAACCGAATTTTCCTGTTGGGTAATTAAAAAAAATCATATTCATACTGACACGAGTATAACGTTGGAATCAAATCAGCTGGGATTATAATTGTACCATGACATATTTATAAGAACAAATTAAACAGATGTTATAATTTTTGATCAGGCAAATATTGGGTCGGGTTTAGGTTTCCATAGAATAATTTTTATTTCTAAATAAATTTTGTTTTTTAAAAGTGAATAAATTAACATTTTTTCTGAGAAAACTTTTACTATATCTTTATTTATAGAAAAGGTACTGGTCATGCAACATGCTGTGTGTTCGATATCTTGTGAGAAATGTTTTTATTCGTAGGTTTCGTCGTTAAAATGTATATATTTTTCAACAAATGTGAAAATTATTTTCAGTTTCTGTGCACACGTACAATTATGTAACATCTAACAGTAAATTAATATGGGATACGACCAATTGTAATTGCATATTTCCTATTGGTGTGCCGCTGTCCTTTTGTTCAGCAGCCGATTTATAGTAAACAAACCAATA